CATTTGACACAGTGGTTAACATACTTGAGAGTACCTGGGTTTAACTTCTGGGTCCACTTCCAATCCCAGTTTCTTTTTTTTAAAAAAAGATTTATTTTATTTTTATTACAAAGTCAGATATACAGAGAGGAGGAGAGATAGAGAGGAAGATCTTCTGTCCAACGATTCACTCCCCAAGTGACTGCAACGGCCAGTTCTGTGCTGATCCAAAGCCAGGAGCCAGGAACTTCTTCCAGGTCTCCCACATGGGTGCAGGATTCCAATGCTTTGGGCTGTCCTCGACTGCTTTCCCAGGCCACAAGCAGGGAGCTGGATGGGAAGTGGAGCTGCCTGGATTAGAACCAGTACCCATATGGGATTCTGGCGCGTTCAAGGCAAGGACTTTAGTTGCTAGGCCACGCCGCTGGGCCCTCCAATTCCAGTTTCTTGATGATGCATACCCAGAGAGGCAGCAGATAATGGCTTAAATCCTTGAGTCTTTGCCACCCATAGATTGAGTTCCAGATGCCTGACTTCATCCTGACCCAGCCCTGGCTGTGTGCAGGTTTGGGGAGTGAATCAGCCGATGGAAGGCAGATCAACTATTTCTGCCTTTCAAGGAAAAATAAATAAATAGATAAATTAAAATCTAAAATTCATAGTAGCCTTCTGAAATAGGTATTATCAGATAAGGCACACATGGAAGTAGAGGATATTTTCTCTAAGATAAAAATGCTCTGTCTTATAGAGATGATGTGATTTGCCCAAGACTTCAGCTGAGCAGATTTTAGATTTCAGACTTTCCTGTAACAGTGTAATCTAGTTTTAGTTGGTCACTGTGAGAATTTGGTCAGTTCTGTTAATTTTTGGGCTTCAATTTCCTTTTTGATCAAATAGTAATCACAATCCCCATTCGTCTAACTTTACTTCTCAGAATTATTTAGAGGATAAAATAAAATAATGCAAATGATGTGTAGAAAAGGATCCAAATCTATATCATAGTAAAGCTACCCTTTGAACATAAATTTCTCTTCTAGATTTCTTCTAGACATCTCTCCCAGGAAAAATAGGAAAGTCAGTAAAATTTATGTAAAGAAATGTTCAGGAGCTGGCATAGTGGCATAGCAAACCAGTCCTCTGCAGTGCTGGCATCCCAATGTGGGCACCAGTTCATGTCCCAGCTGCACTTCTAATGCAGCTCTCTGTTCTCATGGCCTGGGAAAGGAGAGGCGGATGACCCAAATCCTTAAGCTGGTGCATCTGCATGGAGATCCAGAAGTTCCTGGCTCTCAGTTTCACATCAGCTCAGCTCTGAGTGTTACAACCTTTTGGGGAGTGAATTGGTGGGTGGAAGACTTTCTCTCAGTCTCTTCATCTCTCTCTATATATATATATCTTTGACTTTCAAGTAAAATAAATAAATACATTTTTAAGAGACATGTTTACTGTGGCTTAATTTATGGTAAATAATACTAGAAAAACATTTTTTAGGAAGACACAACATTAAGGAATTAGTCATGTGATCCATCTATAGGTTGTAATATAATATAGATAACTAAAATTTTATTAAGAGTTTAAAAAGCACTTTTGTAGTATTTTTGGATTATTTTAAGTACTTTTTCCAAGTGACAACACACATTCTATGTGAATGATCTTAGCTAGTAAACTATGTGTTAAAGGTATAGACTAGACATTTTAGCAGCCAATGGCATTCTTCCCTTGAATCTCATTTTGTTCATGTGTGTAGATGCTATGCTGCTTTAGTTTCCCCATATCCTGGATATGTTTCACACCTGCTTAGGATTCCTTATCCAAGGCAGAAGTTTACAAAACATAAGAATGGGGCTGGAGATCTATGGTAAAGGCTTAGAGCTGGGAGCAGAGAAGGCAGAGCAGAGGCCACGGGAGGCTTGAAGTAATAGATTGATTCAAGGAGGTTTTTCTAAAGGACGGTTAGTAGTTATGTGTGTTTGGCTTTTCTTCAAGAGGGCTTTAAAGCTTCTGCAAGCATCAGTCTCTTGTCCTTGCAGCTCACTGAGAGGCCCATACAGCCAAATCCACCAATTTTACTCTTCCCTGCCCCTTTGGGAAAAAGGGTGCTTTTTTTCCCCCCAGAAAGATTTATTTTTATGTGAAAGGCAGATTTACAGAGAGAAGAAGAGAGAGTGAAAGAGAGATCTGCTTATTTCACTCCCCAAATGGTTTATAACCAGAGATGAGCCTATCTGAAGCCAGGAGCTTCCTCCGGGTCCTTCCACATGGGTAGAGGAGACTAAGGACCTAGGCCATCCTCTGCTGTTTCCCCAGGTCATAAACAAGGAGCTGGATCAGAAGTGGAACAGCCAGGACATGAACTGGTGCCAATATGGGATGCTGGTGCCCACAAAAAGAGAATTTGTCTGCTGAACCACCATGCTGGCCCCCTTTCTAATTTTTAATTTTGTTTTTCCCATAGGGTGACAGAAATCTCATTTCTTCTTTTTTTAAAGTTTCTTTCTTTTTTCCCCAAAGATTGTTTTAATTTGAAAAGTGTAGTTACATAGAAAGAGAGAGGGAGAAATGGAAAGATCTTATATCTGTTGGTTCATGTTGGTTCTCTAAGTGGTAGCACCTGCCAGGACTGTGCCAGGTTGAAGCTGGGAGCTTCTTGCAGGTCTCTCATGTGTATGCCAAAGCCCATCCTCTATTGCTTTCCCAGGCACATCCACAGGGAGCTGGGTTGGAAGTGGAGCAGCCCACATGGGTTGCAGGCATTGTAGGCAGTGGCTCAACCTGTTAAACCACAATGCTGTACCCCAATGGCGAGAATTTGTAAGGAGAGTGACAACGTGGACATAATCTCCCATTAGGGCTGTCTTCCCATTTCCTGTGACTCTTCACCGAGTGCATCTGAGCACTCCGTGCTGAGCGCAAGAAGAGGTTTCAGGTGGAGAAGCAGGGTGGCTGAGGCTTCCAAGATGGATAAGCAAGCAGTTGAAGATGCCCAGCAACCATGTGGCTGAGTGCTGGGTTCAGAGTGTTCTAGGAGAGGGAGGATGCTGACAGGTGCAAGAGAACTCTACTCTTGGAAGGAAGTGCTGACACATAATCAATAGAGAATGAATGAATGCTTGCACAAATAAAGGATCTGGGCTTGGAAGGATTTGGAATACTAAAAGCTTATGTTTATACCTCTGTGAACTTACCAGTTTGTAAGTCTCAATCATTGTTATCTTGTTTGAGTCCAATAGGAGCCCTGTGGGAAAAGAAGAGCAAAAATTGTTCTCCCCTTTTCCCAGATGGGAGATTGGGGCCCCAGAGTGATGAGGTAACTTTTATTAATTCCACGCACATTTACTGAGAGCTGTTATGTGCTTGGGTTTATACAAGAAGCCAAGCATGCAGAAATGAAGCACATTAAGTCCCAGATGCTCAGTCTAAATGAGGAGCGAGAATAGTAAACAGTTCAGAAATGACATGAGTGCTGTGAGAGTGTGCTGGGAGCATAGCAGCAGGAATGTGTGCCTCTGCAAGGCACAGGGAGGGAGGCACCTGCTGTGGGCCTATAAGGATGGCTAGGGGTAAGTTAGGTGGAAAAGAGCATTCAGGTCAGAAGGAATACATGTACGAATTGTCAAAGGCAAGAAATAATAGGACATTTGTGGAATGAAGTGTGTGCTTTGATATAATGATATCACAGGTCAATGAAGGGAAGGATTAGGCCAAACTTAATTGATGCTTTGATTAACGGATAGTTTGGGTAGATGGCTAGTTTGACTAATTGGTTCTTTGTCAAGCTGAACAGTTTGGGCTTGATCTTTAGATCTATGGAGAAGCCATATAAATTTTTTTGAAGATGTATTTATTTGGGGGGCTGGTGTGGTAGCTCAACAGGTTAATTCTCCTCCATGTAGCTCTGGTACCCTGTATGGGCACAGGTTCATGTTCTGGCTGCTCCGGTTCTGATCCAACTCCCTGTTTATCACCTGAGAAAGCAGCAAAACATGGCCCAGGTCCTTGGGCCTTGACCTGCATGAGACCTGGAAGAAGTTCCTGGCTCCTGATTTCATATCAGCTCAGCTCCATTGCAAACGTTTGGGAAGTGAATCAGCAGATGGAAGATCTCTTTTTCTCTCTTTTTCTTCCCGAAACTCTGCCTTTCAAATAAAAAGCAGCAACTTAAAATATTTATTTATCTGAAAGGCAGAGAGTATCCTTCCACTGTTGGTTCACTCTCCAAATGGTCACAGTGGCTGGGGCTTCAGCTTCTATATATTGAAGCCAGGATTCAGGAAGTTAATCTAGGTCCCCTATGTGGGTGGCAGGGGTCCAAGTACTTGGGCTGTTTGCTGCTGCTTCCCTAGGCATGCTAGCAGGGAGTTGGATCAGAAGCAGAATAGTTAGTACTTGAACTGACTCCAGTATATGATGCCAACATTGCAGGTGGTGGCTCACCCCTTGAATCAACCACAATGCTGGCATTTGCATAAAAGTTCTTGAAAGCAGGGGGAATAAAGCCCTAACTGAGCCCTTCCTGAACTGTTTGTGCATTTTTTGTTTGGGGATTTTTTCCTAAATGACAACAACAATGAATTTGGCTCAGCAACTACCTGCTGCCTGAGATTTTCCTTGTCTTTCATGCCTCCAGTTGAGGGAGATGCTTCCCAGAATCTTCCTCAACTAGGACTTCCCTGGTCTTATTGCTTACCTGTTACTCTGTTAATCTGTATCTACCTGCTCTTTTATTCCTGTCTGTGAACACCCAGAGGTCAGACACCATGTCTGATTCATGTTTGTCCTCTCCATGCCCAGCACAGGGCTTGACCCACAGCCACATGCTCTGTCAATATTTGCTGAAGGAATGAATGGGAGGAACTGGGTTCCACCCATTGTCCTGAGCCAACATTTGGGGCAGGTGCAGTCCTGGAGTGATGTTGATCAATGTGCATTTCTTCTGGATAGTGGGGTGGGGATTGAGTGTGTGGCTGGAAGGTTGGTGACTCAGGATGATACTATAAGTGCGGTTCCTGAGTGACCACAGATCTCTCTTGCAGATGGCGTCAGTGACTGATGGTAAAACTGGAGGCAAAGATGCCTCTGACCAGAATTTTGACTACATGTTCAAACTGCTCATCATCGGAAACAGCAGTGTAGGCAAGACCTCCTTCCTCTTCCGCTATGCTGACGACACCTTTACTCCAGCCTTTGTCAGCACTGTGGGCATTGACTTCAAGGTGAAGACGGTCTATCGTCAGGAGAAGCGAGTGAAGTTGCAGATTTGGGTGAGTCCTGGGCATCTTGGGTGAGTCCTGAAGGTGACTGGTCTGCTGGTGCAGCAGCTGAGAGGAGAGGCCAGGTTGGAACTTCTGGAAGTTACATCATCAGCACTACCATTATTTCACCTCTGGATCCTGAGCTGCCCTACACTGGTTTTCTACACATTTTCTCTCCTCTGCTGAGCTGTTCAGGAGGCTTTACTCTGGATTATATGAATGAGTGACCAAGAAACTGGATTTTGGGATTAGACACCTGGGTTCATATTTCTATATCTGTCACTTTCTAGCTAGGGTCATTTGGGTAAATTACTTCACCTTCCTCTTCCAGACTGTGCTCTTCCCTTTAAAAGGTTTATTTATTTATTCGAAATGTAGAGACACTGGTGTTGTGGTGCAGTGAGTTCAGCTGCCACCTGCCATACTGGCATTCCATGTGAGTGTTACTCCACTTCCACTCCAGTTCCCTGCTTATGGGCCTGGGAAGGCAGTGAGAGATGGTCTATATGCTTGGGCCCCTGTATCCATTTGGGAGACCCAGATGGAATTCCTAGTTCCTGGCTTTAGCCTCACCCAGCTCTGGCTTTGAGGCCATTTGGTGAGCTAGCAGAAGATCTCTCTCCTTCTCTCTGTCCCCTTCCTCTCTCTCCCACCTCCATATCTCTCTCCCTTTCAGACAAATAAATCTTTTTTCTTTTTAAAAAATTTTAAGGTGGAGTGATGAGGTTGGGGTGGAGAAAGAAAAAAAGAAAGAGAACTCAATCTTTTATCCATTGTTTTACTCCTCAAGTGCCCACAAAAGTTGGGGTTAGGCCAGGCTGAAACTGGGAGCCAGGAACTAAACCATAATCTCTGCCTCCCAAACACACGAACAGAAAGTTGGATTGGAAATACAGAGTAACTGGGACTTGAACTAGGGATTTCCATGTGGGATTTGGCCATGTTTAGTGGCAACCGAGCTTACTGTGCCACAATGCCCCCCACCCCCGGTCCCTTCTTTGAGAATTATAGCATCTATTTTATAGGGCTTTTGGATGTTTAACACCTTTCCTGAGACACAGTTAATATTAGCTACTGTGTAAATAATCTATCCCTACATTGTCAATGACTTCAAAACTTGATGGTATAAAACAAAAATAATAGTTTATTATTTTGCAGTTTCTGAGTTAACATTTAGGAGTGACTTGGCTTGGGTCACCCAAAGGTTGGCATGGGTTTCAGTCATCTTAAAGATGTGCTGGCTGTTAGCAGAAAGTTTTATTTCCTTCTCATTTGGACTTCTTAGTGTTCACCACAAGGTAGATAGCTTTCCACAGTATGAGAAACCTCGGAAACCAGAGAGGAAACAGCAGCTTTTCTTATGACTTAGCTTTGGGGTGTCCTGTTGGTCACTGACTCCATGTGGTAAGCAACTCTACCAAGATGGAAATACTGAGAGGAAAGGACCAAAAGGGACTGTCTTAGAAGTCAACCAGCACAACTACTACTATTGGTATTTTTCATTAACGCCAACAAAATGTGTCCACATGTAGATTATACACATCTCAATAATGAATTTGTACTGACTGGCTTTGTACCTTTTGAAAATTTATGATGTAAAGTATTCAAAAATATTGTTGATTTTGTACCCATTCTACTTATTAACTGCACACTAACAGATTAGGACGGTTTTGAGATGGAGGGAGACAGACAGAGGGTAACAGAGAGTGAGCTCCTATGTATGATTTACTCCCTGAATACCTACGACAGCTCTGGCTGGGCTGAGGCTGAAGCTGAAGCTGGGATCTGGGAACACAGTCAATCCAGGTCTCCCATATGGGTGGCAGGAATCTTGTTACTTGAGCATTCCCTGCAGCCTCCTGAGCTTTGCATCAGCAAGAAGCTGGAATCAGGATCTGGAGCCAGGTCTCAAATTCAGGTATACCAGTATGGAATGTGTGTGTCTTACCTACTAAGCTAAATGCCCACTCATATTTTTCATATATTTATGTCTCACTATTAACTCTATGAGGTGGATACTACTTTATTTATTTGAGATTCCAGAAAGTCAGAGATGGAGAGACAGAGATCTTCTGCCTGATGGTTTACTTCCCAAATGCCTGTGATGGCCTTGGAAGAAGCCAAGAACTCAATATAGGTTCCTATGCAGGTGACAGGGACCCAATTAATTGAGTCATCATCTGAAAGCACACCTCCCTGGGTGTGTATTAGCAGGAATCTGCAATTGAGAATAGAGCTGGAAACTCAATCCCAGGCATACCAAATGATATGGAATGTGAGTGTTCCAAGTGGTGTCTAGACACTAGGCCAAATAGCTTAATGGATACTATTTTCACATCCCCTTGTTTTGCAGAACAGACTCAAATTCACTTTTAAGTCAACCAGATGGTTATATAGTAGGATTCAACTTCAAATCTTCTGACTCCTCTTTTCTGTACAGTGTGCAGTTGTGGTCTTACGATCATGTTAATTATTAATTTCTATAGATATAATTGCTCGTTTTGTTCCTTTGCTCTCTGTTAAGAGAGCAAGATCCTTTAGTTTGTTGGTTCCTGTAGTGTGGTCTTCAGAACAGCAGCATCACTTGGGAATTTGTTCAGAACATGATTTTTTTTAAAGAAGTACTTAATTTTTCTTGGAATGGCAGATTTATGGAGAGACAGAAAGGAAGATCTTCCATCCAATGGCTCACTCCAAAAATGGCCACAATAGTTGGAGCTGAGCCAATCTGAAGCCAGAAGCCAGGAGCCAGAAGCCAGGAGCCTCCTCTAGATCTCTTATGTGGGTACAGGGTCGCAAGGACCTGAGCCATTCTCTACTGCTTTCTGAGGCCATAAGCAGAGAGCTGGATGGGAAGTGGAGCTGCTGGCACATGAACGGGTACCCATATGTTCCCAGCACTTGAAGGCGGGGGATAAGCCAGTTGAGCCACTGCGCTGGCTGCAAAGCATGGATTCTCATGTCCCACCTCGGATCTAATGAATTAGAAACTCTGGGAGTAGGGCCCAACTTGTGTGGTATCAAGTTTTCCAGGTGGTTCTGAAATAGGCTAAAGCTGAAGAACCACTGATGTAATTTTGCTATTAGGATGAGCCGAAACAGCATTTGTTCACCTAGCAGGTGCCAGGTGCTTTCGCTTGTGTTGTGTGACATCACCTTTGCAGCAATGCACAGAAGGATGTGAGAACCCAGTATCTGGGGCACAGTGAGCAATGCAGTGAAGCTGCACCAGGGCTGTGAAAAACGGGGAGGGAGATTGCTGAGAGGGAAGTTTGCCAGAGAGGACACAGGCATCAGATAGGAGTGTCAGAGAGACCTTGTATCAACACACAAGAATCCTGCCATTACCCACACAGCATATACACCTGATGACTCCTCAGGAGACTGAGGAAATGATCAGAATGTTGTTATTAATGAATACACAATAATTTTTGCTATTCACTGTGTAGAGCGACACAAGTCTCTTCAGCCTGTTGTGAGCTTTTGCAGTCTTCCTGTGCCTGGATAAGTGTATTCATGGATTATATTGTTTAGTTTTAGGTAAATGAAAACTCACAGTGGCTATGTGGCTTTTTAATAAGTCCTGTAAAGGACCTTCTGGTTGCAGACTATATTAATCATAGTGAAACCAAGTGAGCATTGTAAAATAGCGGGGGAGTTTTTTCCGACTCTCAGCAGAAATTCATTGTCAGCCACACTTCAAGGTGAAATCAATAGTGATCCAACTAGATCTGACTTAGTTAATCACATTGCTTTTATTTAAAAAAAATTGACAAAGTGTTTTTAATGTGGATATATGTAGGCTTTTATGTACTGGAAATAAACTTTTCTGTATTGTTCACAAAGCATTAACATTTAAACATTTAAATACTGCTTATTTCTCTTTTACCTATCTTAACATTCTTGCTGTATGGAAGTATACATATAAAATCTAAGTAAATATATATAGATTTTGTTTGCTGTATCTAAATTTTTCCTTGCATAAGTGGATATAAGTCTGGAGACCACTACCATAGACCTTGAGAAGCAATGAAAAAATGTTCACAAAACCAGGTCTGCATTAAAAAAAAATATTTTTAAATTTTCGTTGGAAAGGCAGATTTACATACAAAAGGGGATACAGAGAGAAAAATCTATCATCCACTGGTTCACTCTCCCAAGTGGCTGCAATTGCTGGAGCTGAGCCAATCCGAAGCCAGGAGCCAGCAGCTTCCTCTGGGTCTCTCACACAGGTGCAGGGTCCCAAGGCCTTGTACCATCCTCTACTGCATTCCCAGGCCACGAGCAGGGAACTGGATGGGAAGTGGATTAGCCGGGACATGAACCGGTGCTCATATGGGATCCTGACCTATGCAAGGCAAGGATTTAGCCACTGAGCCATTGGGCTGGACCTCAGATCTGCATTAAAAATCCCTGATAGATTGAAATGAGGCAAAGTACTCAAGTTCATCACATGTGTACATTATATTTGTATCTTTTAATATATCAACTGTATTCATTAAATTATTGCTCGTGATGGCAGCATCCCTATCAGAGTGCCAGTTAAGAGTCTCAGCTGTTCTGCTTCTGAGCCAGTTCCCTGCTTGTTAATGTGCCTGAGAAAGCAGGTGAAGATGGCCCTGGTGCTTGGGTTCCTACACCCACATGAGAGACCTCATTGTGGCCATTTGGGAATTGAACCAACAGATGGACGATCTCTTTCTCTGTCTCTCCCTGTATCATTTTGCCTAATAAACAGTTTTTTTTTAAAAGGAAGAGACAAGACTAGTAGTTTGGATAAGTTATATAAGCCTAGACTTATGTATGAGGAATTTTCAACAAGTTTTTGGAAAAATTTATATTATGAAAACTATTGTATATGAATTTTTAAAAATTTAGCATCAAAATAAACTTATATTTTAGTTCTATTTTCCGTGAACTTTTTGAAGCATCCTCATATGTGTCTGTGTTGTCTGCTATAGCAAATACCACAGATGAGGTGACTCAGACAAGCACAGCCTGCGTCTCAT